CTGCAGCCAGTAGGCGGCCACCCTGCTGGCCAGGTCGATCAGGCCTTGGCCCCCCTCACCGGGGGGCAGGTAGAGGGCAGCTCGTGGGAGCCAGTGGCGTCCGTCCCACTGAAAGTCCACCAGGAGCCACTGCAGTCTCTCCAGGAGCTCCGGCGGAGGGTCCAGCACCGCGCAGCAGTGCCACAGGGTCGCCGTCACCAGGTTGTTGGCGACAAGGACCCAGCCACGGTAAGAGAGGGTGGGCAGGCGTCAGCACCAACGCTGAAGGCGGGCCTCCACTCCCTCCGCCAGGTCCTCCCAGTTGCGGGCCGCAAAGGCCGGCGGCCCCAGGAACACTCCCAGGGCTTTGAGGCCTTCCCGGCACCAGGCGAGGCTCCCGGCAGGTCCAGAGGCCCACGTCCCGAGCAGGAAGGTGTCGCTCTTGCCCCAGTTGATGCGGGCCGACGCGGCAAGCTCGTAGGCACGTTGGCAATCCACCAGGGCCCACACATCCTCCTGGCTGCCCAGGAAGACGGTCACGTCATCTGTGTACGCTGTCAGCTGGATCGGGGGGCCAGTGGTGGGGCCCGGTGCTGGTGGCAGGGCTAGGCCGGTCAGGTGACGTCGCAGAGCGTGCAGCAGCGGTTTGACGGCCAGGGCGTACAGCATCCCTGACAAGGGGCAGCCCTGGCATATGCTGCGATGCACGGGGAACGGGGAGCACAGCGCACCGTTTACCTTGAGCAGGCCGGAGGTGTCGTGCTACAGGACCCAGAGCGCCGCGGTGAAAAGCAGCCCGAAGCCAAAGGCCTTGAGGGTGCCGAGCAGGTACCGGTGGTTGACGTGGTCAAAGGCCTTCTCCTGGTCCAGAGAAACCACGCCGACGTCCAGACCAAAAAGCTCTGCGGCCGTGAGCAGGTCACGCAGCAGAAACAAGTTGTCCTGGATGGTCCTGCCTGGCACACAGTAGCTCTGCTCAGGCCCGATGACGGAGGCCATGACGGTGCGGAGACGGTTCGCCAGTGCCTTGGCCAGGATCTTGTAGTCGGTGCGCAGGAGGGAGACGGACTGCCAGTTCTTCAGGCAGTCGAGGTCCCCCTTCTTGGGCAGCAGGGTGAGCACTGCCCAGCGGCAGCTGGTCGGCAGGGTCCTGTCGGTGAGGCTCTCGTGCAAGACGCAGAGGAGGCTGGGCCCGAGGAGGGGCCAGAAGGCTCTGTAAAATTCCAGGGCAGGCCGTCAAGGCCTGGGGCCCTGCCCGAGGCAAGCCCCCACACTGCGGCCTCCAGCTCTGCCAAGGAGAGTTCGCACTCCAGGGCCTCGACCTGCGAAGCGCCCAGGCGTGGCAGGTCCCGATGCAGCTGCTGGGCGGCCCGCGGACAAACGGGCTCAGCCGCAAACAAGTCCCGATAGAAGGTGACAGCATGCTCCCGCACTTCGCCTGGGTCCATGAGCAGCCGTCCCTCCGGGGTCTTGAGGTGGTCCAGTGTCTTTGCTGCGGCCTGCCGCCTCTCCAGGCCGAAGAAGCCGGTCAGGGCATCGGCCTCTGCCAGCTCCTGGCAGTGGGCACGGACCCACGCACCGCCGGCCACGCCCTCCGCCAGCTCTCACAGGCATTTCTTGTGGGAGCGGAGGCTCTCGAGGAGTGCTGTGTCGTTGCCCGTG